CATCCATTCATCCTTCCATTCTTCCATCCATCCATCCATCCATCCAACCATCCTTCCTTCCTTCCTTCTATCCATTTATCCTTCCTTCCTTCCTTCCTTCCTTCCTTCCTTCCTTCCTTCCTTCTATCCTTCTATCCATCCATCCATCCATCCATCCATCCATCCATCCATCCGCATTTGCATGGGTACACACACAGCCACATATACATAGATACACACAGGTTCCCCAATAACATGCAACCTGAAAAGGGCCTTCTAGCAGTAGAGACAACACACAGAATCCTGTACAAGTGCTGCTGGCATGAGCCTAATGGAGGACAGCAGCATCCTCAGTACCCAGAGCTTTCTGGAGCCCCCTACCCCCTGGGACAAGTGGACATGTGTGTGAGGTACATGCAGGAGGAAGCCCAGGGGATGCCCATCACCAGAGAGGGATTCAGGAGGACCAGATGTAGCTCCAGTCTTTTCCCTGCAGCCCCCAGGATGGTGGTCCTAGAGTAGGCTTGTGGTGGGGGCTGGGGGGCAGGGCAAGGAGGCTAAGACTGGTCTCCACTTAGCATCATGCCTAGTGACACAGCAGGTGGTGCAGTCCTCTCCTTTCTGGGCCTTTCCTAGTGACCTCACTCCTCTCAGGGGCCCCCTGAAAGGCTGCCTGCCAATCACCAGACCCCTACTTGGGTTTAGCTTCTCCCAAACAGCACCATGTGCCTGCACTGACTGTTGATCCTGAGAGTGGCTTGGCTTTGAGGTGCAGGTGGGGCTGTGGTGGGGGGCTCAGAATGCTCAGTTTAGGCAAGATGAACTCTGGGCCTCAACGCTCCACCTGCCCCAGCTAAGACCTCCCACTGCCTGCTGTGGCTCCACTTCTGATCAGAGCTGCATAGAGGAGGGAGGCCCAAGAGGTGGGCTCAGGGAGGGTCCAGGCCCACACTCACCCATGTAGCCCACGGTGCCCACCCGGCCGCGGATCAGGTCTCCATCGGGAATCTTCACAGCCAGACCCAGGTCTGAAATCCGAATGTGGCCTGAGGCGGGGAGAGCACAGTTAGCGGGTCACTGGGACAGTCAGTGGACACATGGCCCACCCTGGGCGGTCCAGAGACTTGCTTGCCCCTGGTCAAGGTACACAGACTCTCGGCCCCAAGAGGGGCATCCCAATCAGCCACCTCAGGGTGACTGCAGACCCTTGGGGGCATCCAGGTGTCAGAGGATGTGGGTAAATCATTACTTTACAGGAGGAAAACATAAAGACGGGAAAGGATGTCTGGATTTGGCTGGACGATGGCCAGCCTACCCATAAAATGCCCTAATGGGCTTCTTGGAAGGCTGAGATCACCAAGTTTAAAAGACCCTGGCCTGATTCTATGATTGCTTCATGGGAAAAATGTGAGATTTTCCTGAACTTTTACAGTTTGCTTAAGGGGAAAAATTATAAAGCAATTCGGGAGGCAACTCCCTGTCCTTCCCTGTTGCTCTTTGGAGGTTCTTTGCACTCTGCCTTTGGAGAGACAAGAGTGAAGTCATCCAGGCCATGGGGAGACTGAGATGAAATGGAATCCAGGACTCCCCTCCAAAGGCCAAGATGACACAGCGCTTACAGCTCTGTCTTGCTTGGCGGCCCACTGAGGCAGGGTCACGGCCACACCAGGGACCCACAGCCCGGACCTCAGTGAGGTCCAATGTCAGGGACTCCCCACCAGGCCAGAGGGGTGCAAACTCCCTGGCTCAGCAGCCCTGATGAAGGTGGGGAGGGGAGAAGAGAGCACACAGGTTCCAGCTTTCAGGCTGCAGATGAGTGGTGGGCATGGTTCTGAGAGCAGCAGAAGAACCCCGGTGTGCCCTGGGCTCATCCAAGAAGGGCGCAGGCCCTGGGCCCTCTGCCCACTTCCCCACTCAAATCGCTCTCCAAGTCACCAATGACCTGCCTCCCTTTCTCCCTCCCCCTGCGAGGGGCTGCCTGGCATCTGAGGCATGCTGGTCTCAGCTCGCCACTGATTGCTGGGTGACCTGGGCTTGTTGGTTCCTCTAAGCCTCAATTTTGTCATCTATAATATGGGCACAGGGATGCTGGCCCTGCCCCCTCTGCAGAAATGGGAACATCTAGCCTGATAACAGATGTGAACACCATTCCCCAGGTGTGAGAGGCTAAACATGTTACCTCTGTGTGTGTACATGTGCGCATATGCATGTGTGCATGCGCGCACACACACACACACACACACACACACACACACACACACACACAGGAAAACAACAACGGTAATGCACAGATAATGCCTAACACATTTAGAGCTGGCTATAGCTGGTGAAACAATTGCCCTTTAAGCTATTTTATTGGAGCCTCACCTCCACCCCACCCTCTGAAGTAGGCAGAGCAGGGCCCATGTTTCCATTTCACCAGCAAGGGAGATGGGGTACCAGGAAGTTGTGTGAGAGTGAAGTACTTGCCCAGGATCTCTGAAATTCTGGACTCCTCAGTCAGTGCTCTCCGTCTCTCTGTCTCTCTTTTGGCCATGCCACACTGCTGCTTCACCATGCCCACTGCCTGCCCTGGGTACCCAGGATTGGGGAGAGGGAGTGGGTGCTCTCCCTCTTTGCCCACTGCTCTCCCACAGTCCCAGGGTCATGCCTCTGAGAGTCTCTGCAGGAAGGCCCCCTGCTCCTTTTGGATTATGATGCTCTCCTTGGCTACAGAGCAGGAAAGGGGTTTCCCAAGTGGCTCCCCAACTTACCATAATCATCTAGCAGGATATTTTCGGGTTTCAAATCTCTGAAAGAGGAAGAGGACAAGCATGTGAGTGTGGGCACTCTCAGCACCAGGGCATGGCGTCCGGGTTGACTTCTTGCCGTGTTTCCTTCCCATCTCTTGGCTCAGGCTGTCTGGTCTCTTTCTGGATCCAGACAGTCTTGCACTAATTTCCTTCCTCCCAGTATGTAAAACAAATGCCGCTGTTGCCATAGGCATCTTCCCGACCTGGAGATGACTGGGAAGGGGTCAGGCAAGGGCCAGCCCTGGCTCCTATCCACACACTGACCACACCAGGGGCGGAGAATACTTCTGGCTGGTGTGGTGACAGACCCCTCTAGGGCTGGGAACACCCGGAGGTTTCAGGATGCTCTGGGATGCCCTGAAGGCAGAGCGGGGCCTGGGAATTAGGGAGGAGAAGTTACTGAGAACACAGCACCAGCTGTAGAACTGGGGCAGAGAATTGTAGAGGGCAGGCCCCCTTGGGGAAGGAAACCCCTTGTCCCCCAACTCCAGCAGAGTCATAAGCCCAAGAAAGCACAGCTGTAGGTGTGCCCGTCTCCATCTGTCCCTCCTCTCTTCTCTGATGACACAATCACTCTTCATAATAACAAGCCCCTCCCCACCCAACTGGGGTAGGGAGGCAGCAGCAGTGTCTGGTTTTACTAGAAGGTCCTTTCCACGGGTAAAAGAACAGCCAGTAGGATAGCATGTGCGACTCAGTTAAGCCATTAGCATCTGGATTGAGGATGCGACTCTCCACCAACTGGCTTTGTTTATTTAACTGCTGGCAGCTGTCCTCATGGGGAATGGTTAATGTGTTCAAATCCAGTGGGGAAGCCTCACAAGGTGATAATGGGTTTGTATGGGGTTATTTATCACAAATAAACACAAATACTTTGTTGCTCTTATTTAATTCGCGTTCTTTGATGTATTAACCGTTCCAAATAAGGGCAAGAGCCACCCTCTCAGTAAGCCAGCAGCCACAGGGTTGGAAAGATAGCTGGTGGACTAGGGCCAGAGCCCAAACCCATGGAGAGGCCACGGCAAGTGGTCCAAGTGGTGGAAGCCAGGGAAGCGCTGTGGTTCTCTTCCTCCGAGAATAAGGGCCAGAGCTTGGAGGACCGCCTTTCCTTTTGTTTTAAGAGAAAAGCCATCAAGTGGGATTTCTTTTTTCAACCCAAAGGGAATTTTTTTCTCTTTTCACTTGAATGAAAACAAAACAAAAGCCTAAATGGGGAGAATGTTGGGGGGGGTG